CATCTCAACTCCGTCGACGGACACCCGGGGCGATATATATTCTGTTCATATCTCGCGGCTAGAGAAAATCATAGTCGGCCGGCGGCGCATTGCTTCTGGTGGAATACGGCCCCCAGACGGCGCCGATTGATCTGGTACAGCTTGGTCATTGGCTGATGACTCTGCTCCGAGCCCGGAAAAAGCTGGTAATTACCACGAGGATGGGCAGGACAGACGGCTGGGAGGACAAGGGCCTTCCGGCGTCGCGCCTGGCGTGGCTGTCCTTACGAGGAAGGGATTTTCTCAGATAAGGTCATTCAATGGGATAAAGAACGTGGTAGGCTCGTGGGGAGGCCAGGGTCCGGAAACAAGCCTTGGGCCCCGTCTGGCTGTCTGCCTCCTGCACCTTGGTCAGGCCTAGAGCGCTGCAGACTCATAGCTGGAGGAGGCCAGACACGAGACAAGCAGAAAGAGACGATCGCCCTTGCTTCGCATTTTCTGCCATTGGCACAGGCAGGGCGGTCCAGCCACGCCACTTAGCGTGGAGCGAAACCGGTGCCGGAGAGCGGGCATGCGGGATCCATGCGGCGTGGTGTGTCGTTCGGTGATGGTAATGGCGATGACAAGGTGCTCCGCGCCGGCGGGCATACAGTCGATGAACATAAGTGTCGAAGGCTCCTGATTCGACAGTAGCGACCCCTGACCCAGAGCGCCCGCAGAAAAGACGCGATGCTGGGACAGTCGTTCAGTGTGGACCCGAGGTCGATCGACGGCAGAGATGATAGCAGCGCCAAGAGCGGCTACGGCGTTTGTGATAGGCCCTATGCAGAACCGCCAAGATGTTCAATTGGGAGAGGAGCCGTACTCTTATCACGATCCAATCAGCGATTGTCTTGGAGTTTGTGCCTGTGGACGCATCACGTCAGTCTCCCCAACCTGATATCTGGGGGAGCACTCGAATTGAAATGGGACTGACTGTGCTCCTCCTTTGAAGCGTGGCCGCCATTGGAAGATGCATTTGTATGAGTCTCATCGCCTTGTCAAGTTCTTTGGATGGCTTTTGATGAACGGAAGAACTCGGGCAACGAGGTGAAGAAGAGGAGTTTTGTTGGATCAGGGCATCTGACAGGACAGAGCATACAAATTGTCAATTCGATTCCTCACAGCCGGAAGTGGGTTTCTCCAATGTGGGGCTCTGTCTCGTTAGTCAGCATCCCCCACGATCTTCGACCCCCCGTCATTTCTATCTGCCAAGTCTGCCGAGCCTTCTCCCTCGACCTCCATCAAACAAGATCTCACTAAATATGCAACGACATGGTCTGTCGTAATCTTCGGCACATGTGCTCGGTGCGAAACACGTCTCCCCATCATGCAGAAGACGGCTAGGGTGCACTTTAGATACCGTCGCCGCCGGCGCCTTGGCAGCAACATGGCACTTGAGCCCTACCACGAGCGGCTCATTCTCATCAACCCAACAGCTGGCCCAACTTGGCATTTCGCGACTCTTGCCCCCAGCTATCTCACACGCATTGTACTGACATGTTGGAGACGCCTCACCCCCCGCAGTCCCACGCTGCCGGCGCCTCAATCGCATAATTCCATCTCTATGTTTCGCCGGGCAAGTCTAGCCCTGCCAGCCATCCCCCAACTATTTAAGCTCAAAGTGGTATTTGTGCCTCCTGCCCTGCAGCCCGAAATGCCGGTCGGTATGCCAAGAAGAGCTGAAAATGTTCAAGCCGACGACCCCCATACAATCCACATGCCCACCCATTAGCTGCTTCGCGCCCGCCGGCCACACGTCGATCCGGCCCGTCGGGGGGACTGGCATACATGTTGTGGTGGAAAGCGCTTCGTTCCTTGGAGGCTGATCGCTGATATAGAGAAGAAGACGGCTTACACAACGTGCCATGTCCGAAGATTTGAATCGCATGCTGGTACGGGCCAAGCCCGTGAGATATCCCAGTCCGAGGCCGGTACCTTACGCATGATGCTTCTCAATCGGATCTGCTCGTTCATTTTCGCAAAGGTCTTGCGTCTTTACAGACGACCGTGTCCTCGCCTTCGTATATCTTAAAAAAGCGTCTTTTCCGCCCTGCTCTGATCCGCATGATACCATCTACGCATCCAAAATGCTAAGAGTACCAAAACTCCCTAAGCCTTGCATTTTCACCCCACGACCATCGCCAGTCACGCTACATCGCCTATCTTTGCAGAATATTGAAGTCTATCTTGCTACTGGCTAATTATCGCTGGCAAGTGAGCAGTGTCTGATCTGATCGACTTTGAAGGGATTTCTTGCGGTCATGGTACGCTCCAACTGTGATAGGAAGCTTCCGAGGCGTTTGTTAGGCTTTGATTTGAGGATTGATTGCGACTTGATAAACTGCAGAGTTGGTGTGTGGCGGCTGATGGACGCTCGTCACCGTCCACAACGACATGATTTTTGGTATTCTCACTACAACAAGTCACAATGCCCAATATTGATCTGAAGCCTTATTTGCTTCAAATGAATTCTATTATATCATATTCTTCTGACAGTACGGTTGTCCACAGCGCATGTTCACATGCAGGCGGCGCCATCAATGCCGAGGACCTTGCCGTTGATCCAGGCGCCATCCTGAGAGGCGAGGAAGCAGACAACGCGAGCGATGTCGATGGGCAGACCAACACGGTGAACTGGGGACCAGCCGGCGGCGTATTCGTCGACTTCATCGTCGGAAAGGGTGGCTCCGCCGGGGATGTACTCACGACAGACGGCGTGGTACATGTCCGTTTTGATGCCGCCGGGCGCGACGGCGTTGACGGTGATCTTCTTGTCGCCAAAGTCTACCCAAGTCAGTATATGCTGAATCCGCTTGGGAATTTGTATAGAGTTATAGACGAGGTGAAGAGAAGGAACCTACCGATGGCCATGCAGCGGACAAAATGTCTCAATAGTGCCCTTGGAGCCCGAGTAGACGGCGTGTTTCGGCAACGGCCTTGGCCTGGCCGGTGATGGAGCCCATGAGAATGAGGCGCCCACCCTCTTCGAGGTGCTTGTACGCCTCGGGGGCAACGAAGAACTGGCCTCGCGTGTTGATGTTGAAGACGCGGTCGAACTCCTCCGGTGTGACGTCCTTGACGTGCCCGAAAGAGACGACGCCGCTGTTAGAGCAGACAATGTCGAGCTTACCCCAGGTCTTTACACCTTGCTCAAAAAGGGAGACGATCTCATCCACAACAGAGACGTTGGCCTTGATAGCGACGGCATCGGAGCCTGACTTTTTGATGGCTTGTACGACCTCCTCGGCTGACTCTGAAGAGTTGGCGTAGTTCACAATGACTTTCGCGCCGCGACGACCGAGCTCCATTGCCATCTCGCGCCCTATCCCACGACCTACTCCATGTCAGGGGTTCTGTTATTGAGCTTGGCGAAGGCTAGAGTTCTTACCGGCACCGGTGACTAGGGCGACCTTGCCCTCCAGCGAAGCGGAGGCCAGTCCCAGGGGTCCTGGGATGCGGTTGTAGAAACCGGGCTCGACGGTAGAGGTGGCGCCAGGCATTTTTACGGTGAAAGAATTTGCTTGGTAGAGTTGCGTGTGGTAAAGTACCGGAATACTGGGCTGATGCGTCAAAGTGGTGGTAGAGGATGAGATTGCCGAGTATGATGAGCGTTTATGAAGCATCTACGAAGCCGTTCGCCATCAATTAAGTATCGAATCATCAAGTTGTTGTCAACTTCAAGCACAGTAAAGATGTTCGGATGCCCGTGGAGAGGCCCGCGGGACCTGAATGCAGGTCCACATGCGGGCTAACCGGACGTGCGTGAAACCACGACGCCTGGTGAGGCCTGAGTCGCACGGCGCAACTGAGCAACCAGCTCAACAGGTACATTGACGCCAGACTGCCGATCGCGCAGAGCAAGAAAATAAAGATTGACCAATGGTGGACGCTTATTGAATGTCCGGCAGCATTTTGTGAGGCGGACATCGCTGCCAGTGCCATGTCAGATATTCATGCTTCCTTGTTGGACCTGATTGAGCTGTGTCGTTGAGAAAACCAATGGATGCTAACTACCCCAGGACGCACCGCAAAGCGCCCTCAAGCCATCGTTAAACTTGGAACACTAAAATGACTGTCTTTTCTTCTTTAGACTGGCCGCTCCCTTGGTCCCAGATTGATGGTGCCCTTTGCATGATCAAGCCTGTAGGTCCATCTGGAACGGCCCCCCGGTACGGTACGGGACTCCACACGCTCACCGGGCCGAAAACATCTATGGAGAAACGTAGCATAGACGGCTGCACCGCCAACTATTCCCGCTATACAATCATGTACAATTATAGGCGGCCATCCCAATCGAATTTTTCCGGTTCGATTCCGGCATAGCTTGATAGACATGCTGCCCTCAGTTGTCAAGCTTGCCGGGCTTACAATTGAATTAAAAGAGTTCTCGGGGCCAGAGCCCAACAAGTCGTGATGTGAAATTTAGCTTGGAGCTGCTCCAGGTGGCTGCATAGCGGGCCAACAGCCTGCCACGCAGTTGCAGTTGGCGTTCTCGGCGGCATGGGCTGCTGAGCCACTTGGCTGAATCATGGCTTTCGGCCGAGGATGTGTGACTTCAGCTGCAGACTGGTCATGTGCGATGGCTCTTGTTGGCGATTGATTGTGCAGATAGTTTGGCAAATTGGTAAGCATTCGTCTTTGATCTTGTCGACTGACTTGGGGAGACTCTGCTGATGTCGTCGACTCCGGTTTTTACGGATGGCCTATACCCTCCATGTGCCTTGAATCACGTCTAGTGGTTGCCGAATGATAGATTTGGGCCATGGATCAAAGAGGGTGTAGAAACGGTGGGAGTGACGAGTGATGTGTCTGGGATCTACAGCTGGGCGCAGGGGCCGCTTCGTCACAAATCATGTGCGCCAAGTAACGACTGATTCTACATACCCTGAGGCCATGTGATAGAATTCCTTGCGTAAGATTTTGTGACGAACTTGCTGATATTAGTATAGGGTGCTGTGGGAGGAGTCTGCTTGTCAGAAG